CAGAGATGGAGCACAGAAAGGCTGCAGAAACTGAATATCAAGGTCTGAGCTAGAACATTCTGGTAATGCTTGATTTCCCTCAGGGGAGAGAGGAATGAACCTTTATTTCAAAAACGATTTTGGTGTGTATGTGCTTTCAAAAGCTGCAGTGTAGTGTGAAATGGGGATGGAAACAAACCCCAAAAGGGACTTTTGGTGGCAAAAGGATTAAGAACTTTTTCTCAAGTTGGATGTGGAAGGTGGTGGCCTAGGGGGAAGGGCGGGTCCAAAGAGAACCTTCTAAAAATACTGCCCACTTACCAGAAAGGCACAGCCCACTCCTCTGCTGCACCCCAGACAGCTCCTCAAAAGGAGAACTCGTCTTGCCACCCATGCCTCCTCGCTCCGGGTGAAGGCACCTCCCCAGGGTGGCCAGGGGGCCAGAGCCTGGAAGAAGCTGAGCCTTGGTGCCAGGCAGCTGCTTCATATCCCAGCTCATTACTCTTCTCTTTGAGCCTGTTTCTTCATCTGAGAAATGGAAATACAAATAGCTAATGTGTGAGTTCAGCTAAACGGTATAATGTCTATAAATCATGTCGTTTGGTACCTGGCACTCAGAGGGCACCTATGAATTCTAGCTAGGCACCATCAGTCCTACTGATGGAGAGAGACTGCCACAGGCTGGAGCCCGGGGGTAGGTGAGCTAGAGGAAGGGTTCTTGCACTCAAGGGCTCCTCGGCTGTTGGATCTGTCCTGTGCTGGGGCAGCTGACAGGGACTCGCTCCTCTGCAGTGAGGCGGTCAGGGCTCTCTGCCTCCAGCCTGCTCTGGAATTGCAGGAGGAGGAAAGAGTCCAGTTAGGAGGCTCTAAAGCACTTCCTAAGCATCTAGAGACACAGGAAACATGGTTGTGGGAACCCTGGGAGGTCCCAGGCCAAGTTGATTTTGATATGAATGGGAGGCGATATGGCACTTTGGGGAGCTCTAAACTGCAAGCCTAGATTCTCAGGCTCCCAATATAATGGACTTCCTTTGACCGTGGGCCTCCTGTGTGCCTGGCACACAACGCAGAGCCCTTCTTGGCATTTTGATGGTCCCACAAGGTAAGTATCATTATCCCAATCTAGTGGTGGGAAAGCTGATACTCAGAGAGGTTAAGTCACTTGCCTAAGGTCTCCCAGCCAGGATTCAAACTCAAGTTCTCCAACCAGGTGACCTTGGACAGGCCATTTCAGCGAGGTGTCTGAGTATCCTCCTTGGTCAAATAGGCATAATACTCCACATGCCTTCTCCCTAGGGCTCTTTGTGAGCTCAGATTGGGGGCTGGAGGCAGAAGTCTGTTGTGAGCTGCAAATCTTTGTCTGGTCAAGAGGAAATGTGTAAGATGCAGGCTTTGTCTTGGAGATGCAGGAAGGTGCTGAGGTGTATGTTGGGGGTGTCTGAGAGCAGACTTGCCAGGTTGCACTGCTGCCTCTGGGGCTTGCTTGTTCCTATGGAGGTTGCAGGGTCTCCTTATTGCAAAAGAACAGAAAGCTTGGCTTCACAATGTGGTAACGCAGGAATGGAAGAGAAAGGATCCCTTTATCAATCTCACAGAGGTAAGAGGTGAATTAATAATAATAATAATGACCATCACCCACGTTGTGCTCGTCAAGTGTGTGCTGGGTGCTGTCCTATGCTCCCATTCATTAAGCACTTACTAAGTGACGGTCATCTCCCTAAGGGCTCTACATGAATTAACTCACCTAAGCCCTATGAGCCACCAAGTATTATTATTCCCATTTTACAGATGAGGAAACTGAGGGAATTCCCTGGCGGTCCAGTGGTTAAGACTCTGCGCTTCCACTGCAGGGGGCCTGGGTTCAATCCCTGGTCAGGGAACTAAGATCCTGCAAGCTGTGCACGTGGCCAAAAAATAAAAATAAAGATGAGGAAACTGAGGCTTCAAGAGATTTAAAAAATGAAATTCCCAGGTTGTGGTGAATTGGTAGATAGGAGTGGTTTCAGAGTCAGGCGGTTTGACTCCAAAAGCTCAAAGGAGTTACCTTCTTTCTCTACTGTCAGTGTATTGCCCTGGTATTTGATCACATTTGGTGGTGCTGTCCAATGTTTGAAGCTGAGTTTGTCAGTAAGTTAGACTTCTTCAGGCTCTTCCCCACTGTACCTCCCTCCATTGCCCATCTGTGATGGGACCCAGTCTCTATTTCTGAGCCTAGATAAATGGGGGTGCTTATTTGACTGGATATATTCTGATTGGCAGGAAAGAGCGTGGACTGGGAGTCTTGTGCTAGGGGATCAGGTGCAGGCTCCACCACCGGCAGACTCTTGGGCCTCGTGCAAGGTATGTCCCCTCTCAGGGTCTCATCTTCTCCTCTGTAGGATGAAGGAGATTGAGCTTGAAGGTCCCTGGCTGACCTTGTGGGAAAACTGAGAATTTGAGTGACTTGACTAAAGTCACACATTTCGTTCATGGAATTGCTGGGGTTCGTCCTGAGCTCTTGTCCCCAGATGCCACAGTCTGGAGAAAGGCAGATGGCTACAATGTAGGCTCGCAATAAAGACCACAGACTGAAAAATGGGAGGCAGGCAGCAGGCAAGATTTGGGACAGGGAGGTCTTCTCTCACCACCCTGGACAGAACAGTAGATTGCTTCTTTGGCTCCCAGGACAACTTGTTGGAAGAAGTGGAACCCTCCCCGCACCTCCCGGCCTTGGCCCCCCTCCAAGAAACGGGAGGTGGTGGCCCCATCTTTCAGTTCTGCTTCCTCCAGTCATGGTTGGCTGGGCCTTTAACGCAAGCCTGCTATGTTTGTGTTCCTGTAGCCCCCACCCAACCCATTATAAACAGTCCGCCCCGGCCAGGGCCTCTCGTTGGACTGGAAAGTTCATTCTCTGTGATATGTGGGTCTGTGTTGAGACCCTCCAGAGCTAGCAAGAGTTGTTGATGAGTGAAAGGAGAAGAAACACCTGGGGAGGTGGTGGTAAGTTGTGCGTGTGTGTTTTCTCACAACCTTTCCCTGCTTCAGTTTCATTTTATTCTGGCCCAGGCTGGGCACTCAGAAGGCTGTCTTAGATCCTCTGGCCAGCTCTCTTCTCACCTTCTCCAAGAAGCTTCTTTTGATTCTTTCCAGCATATATCTGCATCCCAAGTATAGCGGGTTGAATAGTGCCCCCCCCACCAAAGATATGTCCACATCAAATCCCTGGAACCTTGAATGCTACCTTATGTGGGGAAAAAAAGGTCTTTGCAGATGTAATTAAGTTAAGGATCTTGAACTAATATCCTGGATTATCTGGGTGGGCCCTAAATCAATGTCCATTTAAGAGAAAGGCAGAAGAGTAGGAGGTGATGTAACCACTAAGGCAGAGAATGGAGTGATGGGCCACAAGTCAAGGAATGCCATCAATTCCCAAAGATGGAAGAAGCAAGGAAGGATTCTCCCCTGGAGCCTCCAGAGGGACCATGGCCCTGCCTGCACCTTGATTTTAGACTTCTGGCCTCCAGAACTGTGAGGGAATAAGACTCAGTTGCTTCAAGCTACTAGGCTTGTGGTACTTTGTTGCAGTAGCAATAAGAAATGAACAGACCATGGAATCACAGACTCCCTGCACTAGAGAGTAGGGCGGGGTCATTGGAGCCACGCAGGTGACGCTTCACACTGGCTTTAGCCAGCAAGAGCTGCACATCAGGGGGCTGCTTATCCTCTCTGAGCCTCGCGCTGCTCACCTGCAAAAGGGAGACCATGATGCCTACCTCCCAGTGCCAGTGTTTTGTTTTGTTTTAACAGCTTTATTGGGATATAATTCAAATGTCAGACAATTCACCCATTTAAAGTGTACAATTCAATGGCCTTTTTGGTATATTCACACAGCTGTGCAACCAACCCTCAGCCAACTTTAGAACACTTCATCATTCCCCCAGAAGAAACCTCATACCCACTAGCAATTGTTCCCCATTTCCCTCCACAATTCTCCCTCCACTGTAGCCAACTACGAATTTACTTTCTATCTCCAAAGATTTGTCTGTTCTCTATATTTCATATAAATGGAATCATACAAGATGTGCCTTTGTGTCTGGCTTCTTTCACTTATCAGGATGTTTTCAAATTTCATCCATGTTGAAGCATGTATCAGTACTTTCTTCCTTTTTATGTCTGAGTACTATTCCACTGTATGGATATACCACATTTTGTTTATCCATTTATCCATTGATGGCCATTGAATTGTTTCCATTTTTTGGCTATTATGAAGTATGTTTTTATGCACATTTGTATACAAGTTTTTGTGTGGACACAGCCAGGGTTGTTTTGAAGATTAAATGAAGTAGAACCTAAGGCATCTGATATGTCCTCCAACAATTAATAATGAAAGATATTAGAGGAAATATGCCCCAACTCTTTCAATTTACAGATTAGGAAACTGAAGCATGGAGAGGAGCACAGACTTGCTTGAGGTCATCCAAGGCAGGAGAGCATAACACTTAAATGCAGGTCCATGAATCAGACTGCCCAGAACTAAATCTTGGTTGGACTTGGGTTACCTTATGTAGGTCACTTCACCTCTACGAGCCTCAGTTTACTCATGTGTAAAATGAGGTTAGTAATAGTACCTACCTCATACGGTTGTTGATGTGAGGATTAAATGTGCTAGACCATGTGTCTGGCACATAGTAGGTGCTCTGTACATCTTAGCTGTTATCATTCATGGTAGTGCCAGCAGCAGAACTTAGGTCTCCTGGCTCCCAGGTATGAGAGGTCTTGAATCTACACTTCTCCAGTTCTCTTTTCTATGTCATGGGCATCTTCCCAGTGTGACTGTAGGTTCTGTGGAGGAAGGACATAGGGCTTCTTCTCCCCACTGCCCTGAGCACATAAGAGGTGCTGAATGAGAACCTTTGCTCACTTTCTTTGGCTTCTGCCAACCCTGGCCTTCACCAAGAGACCCAGCTGGAGACTGTGATAGGTATTAATTCCCTGCATCTTTCCAACACCCCATGAGCTAACTGAGTGCATCTCCCTTCCAGGCAGTGGACAGCACACAACCATGGAGTTGGGGCCTCTAGAAGGTGGGTACCTGGAGCTTCTCAACAGCAATGCTGACCCTTTGCATCTCTACCACCTCTATGACCGGATGGACCTGGCTGGAGAAGAAGAGCTAGAGCTCTGCTCAGGTGGGCTCTCCTCCCTCTGGCCCCTTCCAAGTCCCTCCCCACCCCTCTGCCTGCAGTAGAGATGGCAACAAGGGGAAGTCCTGGCTGTGGAATTCCGGTCAGCACCACGGACAGCTCCAACTCCCTGCCACGCTGGCTCCTAATGGAAATATCTCCCAGCCCGCCCTGCCTCTCCCTCCGTCCCCACCAGCCCTCTTCCCAGATCTTTCCTGCTTCATCCAAGTGGCTTTTCCCCCCAGAACCTGATACGGACACCATCAACTGCGAACAGTTCAGCAGGCTGTTGTGTGATATGGAAGGTGATGAAGAGACCAGGGAGGCTTATGCCAATATCGGTGAGGAAGCATTATGAACCCAGAAAAAGGACAATTGAGGGAAAAGATTCTTTTATCTGTTTTGTTAATCTCACCCATTCACCAGGAGCCTCCAGGCCCTCCCTCAGAAATCGGGGCAAGGGGGGGATGGGGAGCGAGGGCTAAAAGGACAGAGAATCGGGGAAAGAAGGGAGATGGAGAAAGGTAGGGAAATAGAGCCCTTCACTAATGAGCACCAGGCAAACAAATCTCACTTTTCCATCTTCTGTCTCCATTTCTATACATTTTTCTATTTGTTGCTCTTCTTTCCTTCCCACAAAGCCCATATCATATGCCCCTCCCTCCCTCCCTTTCTCCTCAGCTCCTAAGCTAAACTACTCTAGTATTTGTAATAACTACCTTTGGGGGGCACTTGTGGCCTGCAAACCACTGTGCATGTGTTATCATATTGAAGCCTTACAAAAACAAAGGAAGTAGATACTATTAGTATCTTCATTTTACAGATGAGGAAATTGAGGTTTAGAGAGATAAAGAATCTACCCAAGGCTGCATTAGAGATAGTAATGGGTAGGTCTGAAATTCAAAGTCCTTATTTTTCACCACAAGAGGGAAAGTATCTAGAGTGGGGAGGTTTGGTAAGGCTCAAGCTGAGAGGCTGGTTTGCAGCTTGAAAAAGACCTACAGTTTTCAGACAAGGGCAGAACTCTTTGGGACTCTCTGGGGAGAGGTGTTTCTGTTGTTTTTTGTGGGGGGTGAAGGATCCCTCCTTACCAGGTTCACCACTGTCTCATACAGAGGCTTTGTTGAATTAGAAAAAGATGCCCCTTCTTCTAGAGGATGCAGCCCCCATTAAGATGTAACAGCTTGGCTATCAAAGTGAAGGCTGGATTCCTGCCCCCATTTGCCCTTTTGCCTGGGCATCCTGTACAGTGCCCAGACACTGGGCATACCTGCACAGATGTTCTTAGTGGCCCTTTTCCTGGCATCCCAAGAATCACATCCCTGGCATCCCAAGAATCACATCACTTAGGAGGTCTGGCATGAACATGGCTAGACATTCCCCAACACATAGTTAATCCAGCATCATACAAGGGCAGAAAATGGAGAGGAGCAGTAACTGTATGTGTCTCAAAGATTACAGAACTGAGAACCTGCCTGCTTCCTTTCCTTCCTGGGAATTTACTTGGGAGAAGCAGAAATGTTTAGGGCTGAGGGTATTCACATTTCCTCACAACTGGAGGCAGCAATGAATGAGTTGGGCTTTTTCCCAAATCACTTAGGATTTGGGGGCTTTTTCCCCTTAGGGGCATCTACACAGGAAGTGGGAGCAAGTGGAGGAGGCAGCTTCACCCGAGTCTGTTCCTGAAGTCTCTGGTCCTGGGCATGCAGTCATCTGAGGCACCCCAAAGTATTACATTGGCTTCCATTCCCATAAAATGGGAATAATAATCACACCTGCCTCATGGGATCACTGTGAGGATTGAATAAGTTTCTGTGCATAAAGCGTTTAGAGCACGAATTTGAGAAGAGTAAGCATTCAGCGAGTGTTAGGTACCACCCCACCACTACCATCAACACCATCATCATTATATTTATCATCACCATCATCATTATCACCATTTATGCCCTCACTCCATTCCTCACTCAGAAGCCTTTTATGGCTCCCCATGGCCTATAAAATCCAGTCCTAACTTTCCCCAACATGAAACTTTTACTGAAGACACCTATTTCTAAGAGTTTCCCAAACACCTCTCCTCACTCTGTCCCCACTACCCAGAAAGCCCTACACTTTTCACCTCTCAGAATCTACCCCCACCCCCATCTTTCAAGGTCTGGCTTCAGGACCCCTTCCTCTGGGAAGCCCTCCCTGATTGCCCCATCCCACTATATACACTCTCTCCTCTTGCCATGATAACTGTCTTCCCTTTGGCTCCAAGCCATGTTCCACTTCATATAATTAAGCACCATTGATTGTCTACTGTGTACTAGCTACTGTGTTGATTGCTTTAAATACAGAGCCTCTAACCCTCACCATCCATCCCTGGGTCATAGGTGTTATTTATTCTCATTACACAGATGAGGAAATGGGGGCCCAGAGGTTAAGTAACTGACCCAAGATTGTACAGCTTGTAGGGCAGTTGGGGAGTAGAACTGGAATTTAAACTCAAACTCAAGACAACTCTACTACGCTGTGTTGCACTACTTTATAGCAATAGATAAATTTGTATGCATACACATCACCCCTTCAATTAGATTAAGAGCCCATGAAGTTTCAGTGTTCCTTCATTAATTTGATCATTCATTCAGCAAACATTTATTGAGCCCCAATGTGCGCTAGGTCTGGAGGGTCACGGTTCCCCGATGCCCAGCCCAAGGCCAGGCTGGGCAATAAGCATTGCCCAGCATTCGGTGAGAACTAGTTGATTGACTGCACTTTTTCTTGTCTGGGCAGCGGAACTGGACCAGTATGTCTTCCAGGATTCCCAGCTGGAGGGCCTGAGCAAAGACATTTTCAGTAAGTTGGGGGGGTCTTGGCTTAGCCTGCATTTCCTTCCTTGTTCCTTGGAGAGTGCTGTAATACCTGACGACCACCTTTGATGGATGGTCAGATCATCCCCAGCACAGGGACAATGGGAGCTCACCTTGGACGTCCACTGACTGTGTGTTTTGGTGTCTTTGGTTTTTCCCCGAAGTCGAGCACATAGGACTGGAAGAAATGATCAGCGAGAGTGTGGAGGTGCTGGAGGAAGCAGGACAGAAAAGTCAGAAAAGACGTGAGTGAGCCCCTCCCTGATCCGGTCTAGCCTTGCTTGACTCCCAGTCATGCCTTGGCTCTAAAACCTGTTATGGCTCCCAGTTGCTTCCCTCGTTAAGTTCTGTCTGCTCTGCCAGGCTTGTGTGTCCCACCCACCTCTTCCCTCACCACTGCTCCCTGGTGACCCAGGGAGGAAGCAGACGGCCCAGGATCAAATGGCCCCTCTCCTGATGGGTCTCTACCTCTGGCTGTTTTGATTGCCATTTCCGAAAGGACCTCTGGGCTCTGGCTTCTCTTCCATCCTTAGTTGTCACCCCTGTATTTAAGGGAGGTCTCTTCAAGCACAGTTTTTTCCCAGCAAGATCTGGGTTTGAATCCTGGATCTGCTGTTTATAGTCTATATGAACTTGGGCAAGTACCTGCATCTCTCTGAGCCTCCTGGTCAGTCTCCCTGCCTCCTTAATCTGTCTTTACCCGGCAGCCAATGTGGACTTTTAAATGCAAATCAGATCATTTTGCTGCCCTGCTAACCCTCCAATGGCTACAAAATACATAACACAAGGGCTGTTTGATCTGGCCCTTCCCACCTCTCCTAACTCACTATGACCCACCATGCTCCAGCCATACTGGCTTCTTTCCATTCCTGTAACCCATGTATCCTTTTCAGCCTCAGGGCCTTTGTACTTGCTGTTCTCTCTATCTGGAATGTGCTCCCCCTTCCCATGGTGGGCTTGGGAATCTGTTAGGTCTTGGCCAGCATGTCACCTCCTCCTGAAGGCTTTCCTAGACCAACTTTTTCCATATAAATTACCTCACTTATTTTCACCTTGTTTGTGTCTCTCCTTCACTGTTGCACTTGTCACAATTTGGACTTATTTTATTTATTGCCTTTTGCTTAGTTCCCCCACTGTGAGGACAGGGACCTTGTCTTTCTTATTACTACACCCCCAGCACCTGGCACATGGCTGGCATGCAGGAGCACCTCAATAAATATCCACTGAATGAAAATTTCCATAAAATGGGCCTAACAGTTAATCAAAAGCTTACTATGTGCCAGACCATGTGTAAACCCTGTACCTAGTTATTTAATTTGAACAGGTAAACAGGTGCATGGCATAAAAATTCAAAATGTGTAAAAAATATTCAGTGAAAAAAAATCTTCCTCCCATCCTTTTCCCCCAGTCCCTCATTATCCCTCCCTGAAGACAAACTATGTTGCCAGTGCCCTTTTAGTCTTGTTAGGAATATTCTATTTGTCTAAAAGCCAGCTCTTAAAAAAAAATTTTTTTTCACACAAATGACCACATTTTACCTACACTCTTTCTTCTTTTAACATGTCTGGGAGGTTATTTTCTTAGCACTAATGGAAAACACATGGTCCTGCCTCCAGGAATTTCCCTTTCTTTCTATTTTTTTCCTTCCTTTCTTCCTTCCTTCCTTTCTTTCTCTCTTTCTCTCTCTCTCTCTCTTTCTTTCTTTCTTTCTCTTCCTCTCTTTCTCTTTTATTCTTCTTCCTCCTCTCCTTCCTCCCTCCTTCCCTTCCTTCTTTCTTCCTTTCTTTTCGTTTCATAAACATTTTCCCTAATATTTTATTATGAAAAATTTCAACATACAGCAAAGATGAAAGAGTTGTACTACAAACAACCATATACCCATCACTTCCATTCTACCATCAGTGTTTGGCTATAGTGGTCTTAACACATCTCTAGCCATCCCTCTATTCATCCACCCATCCAACCATTTTATTTTTAGAACACTTCAAGGTAAATTGCAGACACCAGTACTGCCCCATATGTCCTTCAGCATCCTTGTTATTTTTAGGGCTGTGTGGTATTTCACATAATCAACCATAATTTGGTTCATCAGCCTCTTGCTAAGGGACACATAGGGGTTTTCTCAATGTGTTACATGCTTGATATTCACTCAACTGATTTCCAATGCATTCCTGCGAAGTGGGAATCACTGCCCCCATTTCACAGATGAGAGATCAAAGGCTCAGAGAGGCTGTGTTGCAGAGACACACAGCTAGGAAGGGACCAAAAGCAGGGTTTTTTTAATTTTTAGTATTATTTTTTAAAACTCAAACTCATCTTGTGTCCCCTCTGTGGCTCTGCCTCTCCCAGTGCCTCACTGTCCTGGGTGCTTCAAGATGGAGTTTGGGCTCAAGCAAATGAGTAGGGGCAGAAATTGTTGGGGGCTGGGGAGGGAAAGGGACCCCCAAGGCCACTTCCCAGCCATTTAAGGCAATTCTATAGGGCCTGCTGGGGTCCACAAGCCCCTCCTGGCTTGGAATACCCCTTCCCTGGGGCTGATGACCATAGTGTTCTCTCTGCAGCCTTCCCAGAGGAGCTGCCTGTGGATCTGAAGCACAGGAAGCTAGGTGAGCAAGGCGGGTGGGTCCTGGGAGACTGATGGGCAGGAAAGCCAGGGCCTCCTCAGGCCCGCATGTAAACTGGCATTTGAAAGCCGGGGCTCAGAGAGGTGAAGCCATTTCTCTGAGATCACACAGCAAGTGAGAGGTGGATTTGAGATTCAAACCAAGATCACGATTCCATAGCCCGTGCTCTGAAGTTCAGGGACTGCTGGGAGATTCAGCTCCTCCTACAAAGCCTCTCCCCTAACACCTCCCTCCTCTTAACTCTGAGTCAGAACTGAGACCCCACCCTACCACCACCACCTAGTTCCACTGCCCCTCCAGGCCACATGTCTCCTTTCAGAGTGCAGAGTCACCTCGGATCAGCTAGTGACCCAGCGCCCTCCCACCCTCCGTAGAGCCCCCATGCCTCAGTGAGCCTCTTCCCCCATACACATCAGTCCCGCTCCCCTCCCACTCAGTTGTTATCGCAAAGGTTGGGCAACCAGCCCCTCTGCGGGGACAGACTGAGGAATGAAATCCTCATAGTCCGATGGAGGAAGCCTGGTCCCTGCCCTCAGAAAGTTCTAATCTCATGGAGAAGACAGGGACCCTGTCCACGAAGACCCCAGGATGATGGAGAAATAGTCTCTGTCTTCAGGGAGCTCCCAATCTGATGGGGGAGGCAAGTCTCCACCCTCCTAGGGCTCCCAATTAAATGGAGGAGATAAACTCCTGCCCCAGTCTGATGGGCAGTGCTTGGGGCCTCTTAGGGGGCCGGGGGCTCAGTGACTGGCTGTAGAAGCTGGTAGGGGCCTGGGCTAACAGCCTATTCATAGGTCTATCCCACCCGTAGCTCTCCATGGCAGGAAGCTCTCAGGGCCCAGTCACAAAGAGGAGGCTGGGGGTAGAGGGCTGCCTGACACAGAGCAGTCGCTGATAAAACCAGCTTCACCCAGGGCAGAGAAGAGGACAGGAGTTTCCTTCCACTGCCAGTAGAGATCTGCTCCCAGAGCGCTCCCTACCCTGGGAAGGCCCCTGCAAGCACCCACCCAGATCTCACCCAGCCTCTAACATTGGCCCTTCCTCACAGCTGAGCCCCTAGCCATGCCCGTGGTGACTGGTGCTTTCCTGGTGGGGCTAGTGAGTGACTCTTCAGCTCAGCCCTGCCCGTCACCACCTGCTCTGTTCAACAAGGAGCCAGCATCCAGCCAGACCCAGCTGAAGGACACCGGTATGTTAGGGGGCTTGGAGAGGGTGGGCTTCCCCACTCCCCAGAGGCAGGAGCCACCAGGGACAGGAATTCCTCCCCCTACTAGTGTCCCCCACTTCTGTCCCAGCCAATGCCATCCTCAATGTCCCCATCAACCCAGTCTGTGCCAGAAAACATGCCCTGGAAGGAAACACATTCCTAGGAGACACAGCAGGGAATCCCCGCCAATTAGGGAATTCACCCGCCAGCCCTATGCTTTCATCAACCGGGAACTGAGCACCCTCTCTGTGCCAGCAACACCACCACAGGCAAGCAGACACAGCTGCGGCTCTCTGGAAGACTGGAGCCCTTTAGAAGGGAGTCAGCTGTTAATTAAGATGTTAATGGAGAATCCCACCTCACCGCCTTTGTCTCTTGCAGTGCCCCCTTCCAGTTCCTTGTTGAGCTGCCTGAGTCTCCCTGCTGGACCCATCCAGATCATCCCCACTCTCTCCACTCTGCCCCAGGGGCTCTGGCAAATCTCAGGGGCTGGGACAGGGGTCTCCAGTATACTCATCTACCAAGGTGAGTATGCGAGGCCGGGCTCCCCACCCCCTCTGCCTGTGACCTGACTACTCCCTGATCCCATCCCCCCTCCACCCCACCCCTGTCCCAGATATTTGGCAGTTTTAGCCTAGCACCTTCTCATGATCCTCCTTCCCCAGAACACCCATCTCTGTCCCCATTTCCCAAAAATCAAAGCGGAGGAGCAGAGCTCCCCAACATGGTCTGGGTGAGTGATACACCAAGTGGCTAAGTGGCATTTTTTGGGTCACTTTCCCCGAGTAAGACTTAGTTTCTCCTTTTTTATCAAAAAAAATTAAACTTTATTATATTTTAAAATCACAGCATCGGGACTTTCCTGGCAGTCCAGTGGTTAAGACTTTGCCTTCCAGTGCAGGGGGTGTGTGTTCGATCCCTGGTCTCAGAGCTAATATCCCACATGCCTCATGGCCAAACAACCAAAACAAAACCAGAAGCAATACTGTAACAAATTCAATAAAGACTTTAAAAATGGTCCACATCAAAAAAGAAAACCTAAAATAAAAGGACAACATCAGTGCATGCTCATTAACAAACCAAGCAATAAGAGGTACTTACAAGAGTTACTGAGTCTCTCCCCCACTCTTTTAGTATACCGTTGTGAACAGTTTGGTATGCATCCTTGCATAGCTTTCTCTGAATTGCCTTGTTTCCAGGTCAGTAAAATGGTCCCTGCTGACCTGCCACATTGAAAGGTTGTGAATTGTCCAAGGGAAGGCATGTTGGTCTCTAAGGGATGGGAGAGAGAATGAGGCTAAGGGGGATACTTCCACTCAATTCAAGAGCATCTTTTGAAGGTTGCATGCCAGTTTTTGTATAATGCATTGGTGCCCCAGGAGCAAGAGGGTGTTCTGGGCATCCAGGAAAATGAGTACTGACCACAGAGTGGGAAAAGTGCTGTATAGCACTTGCCCTAAGCTCCCTATGAGCTGATTGTGTCCATTTCACAGATGGGAAAACCAAGGCTCTGGGAGCCTAGTTGTAACTCCAGAGCTCTTTCCTCAACTTCGGCCTGAAATTTCTTCCTCTGGAAGTTCCCCTCACCTTTCCCCAGACCCCCAGCCCTACAGCCTGATTTGGGAAGGGGGTGACCCAATTGGGCTCCGTGTTGTTTCTGAACTCCTTGCCCTCCCCATGTAGGTGAGATGCCCCAGGCCAGCCAAACACCCGCCTCCAGCAGCACAGCTGTCCACAGCCTCCCGAAGTCCCCAGACCGGCCCGGCTCCACCAGCCCCTTTGCCCCATCGGCAGCTGACCTCCCCAGCATGCCTGAACCAGCCCTGACCTCCCGTACAAACCTAACAGGTAAGAATCAGCAGGACCTGTGAGAGTTACTGGAAGCAGAACTGAGGCCCTGGGGGAAGGGATTGCCTCAGACAATGAGGTCCACAAACAGAGCTGCCTGCAGACACGGGCAAGTTGTGTTTTTGTGTAAAACAGGGCAGGGAGGGTCTCCAGGGAGGGGGGATACATGGGAGGGTTGGTGAGGGGAACAATTGGAGAATCCATGCCAAACCTAAACAGGGCCACCAGCCTTCACCATCTTGTTACATGGCAGGAAAACAGGCTCAATGCAGCCAGATCTTCTGAATTGTCAGCAGAATCTGGAGATCTTGATTTTTTTTTTTTTTGCGGTACGCGGGCCTCTCACTGTCGCGGCCTCTCCTGTTGCGGAGCACAGGCTCCGGACGCGCAGGCCCAGCGGCCATGGCTCACGGGCCCAGCCGCTCCGCTGCATGTGGGATCCTCCCGGACCGGGGCACGAACCCGTGTCCCCTGCAACGGCAGGCGGACTCTCAACCACTGCACCACCAAGGAAGCCCTGGAGATCTTGATTTTAACATAGATATTGTGATTTTTAAAACACTGGTGAAAATTTTAAAAGTACAGCTGGCCAAAAAAAGACATCTTTGAGCAGGATACAGCCTCGGGTCACCACCTGGTAACCTCCGTCTTGCGGAGACTCAGCCCACGTCAGCTCTGACCTTGCGATACTCAGAGGACTGATGCCCCAGAGGGAGGGAGGTCCCTGGGGCGCCCCTCACCCTAACTCTGACACTGGCTTCTTCCCCTCCAGAGGATGAGATGTCCACCACCCAATGCCCAGCAGCTCACGAGGCATCCAGCAAGCTTCCCAAGTGGCCTGGTGAGTGGTGGCAGGGTCCCTCTGCCTGGGTGCTGGAGGCTTCCTGTCACTCATTCACCCAACACTTATTCAATCCCTCACTTGTTGGCTCATTCATTCATTCACTTGCTCATTTGATCCCGCCATCTCAGCATTCATTCCGCCAGTTATACCTACACTTAGAGCAACATTTACTGAGGACCTGCCCCTCGTAAGCCCATGCTAGGTGTTGACGTCTTGTTTGTGAGGCTGAGAGAATGAAACAGGGAAGGGTGGGTGATTGGGAGAGTGGGTGAAGGCACGAGTGGATGATGGGTGTGGGAGAGATGGAAGGTGGGAATGAAAGGGCAGCTGAGAGAACGGCCAGACGACTGAGTCTGACTCTGTTCCAGGTACACTTCCAGGCACATGAGATGTAGTCAATCACTAAAGTTGTAAACAGGGACTTCCCTGGTGGTCCGGTGGTTAAGACTCTGCGCTTCCATTGCAGGGGGTGCGGGTTTAATCACTGCTCAGGGAACTAAGATCCCGCATGCCTCCCGGGATTGTTTGTGGCCAAAACAAACAAACAAAGTCATAAACAACCCCAGTATGATCCCCATTTTACAGATGAGGAAACTGAGGGCTAGTGGGGTATATCACATGCTCAACGTAACAGTAATAAGTGGTGGAGCTGGAACTTGAACCAGAAACCTGGATTCCACTATCCTAACTCTTAACACCACCAACCCCACCATGACCTCCCTGTGGTCAGTGAACAAAAGAAGAAGGTTAGTGAGTAAATGAAAGAGTGGACAGATAATCAAGTGAGAAGATGAGTGAATGAATGGGTGTAGGAATGAATGAATGAGTGTCTGGGTAATTGAAGGAGGCAGCTAATCAAGAAGGCAGTCGGGGAAGACTTTGACGAATGCGTGAACAAGCTACTGATGGTGGCCGGGCTGGCCACTCTGCTGCCCTCACAGTGGCCAGTCCTGCCACTAGCATCCTCCCCTCCCCCACCCCCCACCCTTTGACATGTGCAGAGAGTGTGGAACAATTCTACTGCTCGCTACGGAACAAGTACCAGGCTAAGCCCGCAGGCCCGGAAGGCATCCTGGTGGAGGTGGACCTGGTGAGGGTAAGGCTGGAGAGGAGCGGCGGCAAAAGCCAGGACAGAGAGCTGACCACCCTGGACTGGGCAGAGCGGCAGCCGGCCCGAGGAAGTCTGGGCGAGGTGCTGCTGGCCTCTAGCAACCACCGGCGGCCACGTGAGACGCAGGTGATCGCCGTGCTGGGCAAAGCAGGACAGGGGAAGAGTCACTGGGTCCAGGCCGTGAGCTGGGCCTGGGCCTGCGGCCAGCTGCCACAGTACGACTTTATCTTCTGCATCCCCTGCCACTGTTTGGACCGTCCGGGGGACACCTACCGCCTGCAGGATCTGCTCTTCTCCCTGGGTTCACAGCCACTGTCAGTGGACGACGAGGTCTTCAGTTACATCTTGAGGAGGCCCGACCGCATTCTGCTCATCCTGGATGCCTTCGAGGAGCTCGAAGCCCAAGACGGCTTCCTGCACAGCACGGGCGGACCCATTTCAGCAGAAGCCCGCTCCCTCCGGGGGCTGCTGGCAGGCCTCTTCCAGCGCAAGCTGCTGAGCGGCTGCACCCTGCTGCTTGCAGCCCGGCCCCGGGGCCGCCTGGCCCAGAGCCTGAGCAAGGCCGACGCTCTGTTCGAAGTGGCCGGCTTCTCCGCCCAGCAGGCCGAGACCTATGTGATGCGCTACTTTGAGTGTTCGGGGACCACCGAGCACCAAAAGAGAGCCCTGGCGCTCCTCCAGTCCCAGCCATTTCTCCTGAGTCACAGCCATAGCCCCACTGTGTGCCGGGCCGTGTGCCAGCTCTTGGAGGCCCTCCTGGAGCTAGGTGATGAGGCCCAGCTGCCTTCCACGCTCACGGGCCTCTATGTTGGCTTACTAGGCCCAGGAGCCCGTGACAGCCCCCCAGGGGCCCTGGTGGGACTGGCCAGGCTGGCCTGGGAGCTGGGCCGCGGTCACCAGAGCAGCCTGCGGGAGGGCCAGTTCCCATCGGCCGAGGTGAGGGTCTGGGCTGTGGCCCAAGGCTTGGTGCAGCCCACCCCGGGGGCCCCGGAGACCAAGCTGGCCTTCTCCAGCTTCCTCCTGCAATGCTTCCTGGGGGCCGTGTGGTTGGCTCTGAGCAGCGAAATCAAGGACAAGGAGCTGCCGCAGTATTTGGCATTGACCCCGAGGAAGAAGAGGCCCTATGACAACTGGCTGGAGGGCGTGCCGCGCTTTCTGGTCGGGCTGGTCTTCCAGCCTCGTGCCTGCTGCCTGGGAGCCCTGGCAGGGCTGGCGGGCTCCACCGCAGCGGACAGGAAGCAGAAGGTGCTCACCAGGTACCTGAAGCGGCTGCAGCCTGGGACGCTGAAGGCGGGGCGGCTGCTGGAGCTGCTGCACTGCGCCCACGAGGCGCTGGATGCTGGGCTTTGGCAGCATGTGCTGCAGGGGCTCCCGGCCCACCTCTCGTTCCTGGGCACCCGGCTCACACCTCCCGACACCCACGTGCTGGGCAGCGCCTTGGAGGCGGCGGGCCGAGACTTCTCCCTGGACCTCCGCAGCACTGGCGTTGACCCCTCTGGGCTGGGGAGCCTCGTGGGACTCAGCTGTGTCACCCATTTCAGGTGGGGGCCGGGGGCAGGAGAGTGGGCTTCTTTGCCTTGGGCACCTACAGCGGTCTTGGTGCTGTGCCCAGTGCTGACTCTGTGGGGTCTCATTTAGCATGAATGGCAGCCAGATGGGGGCAGAAGTGATTCTATCCTTTTTTAAGATGAGGAAGCCAAGGCTCAGAGGGGTACGGTAGCTTGCCCAAGGTCACACAGCCAGCATCATTCTTTCAACCATTATTAGAAGGCTGGCCTTATGACAGGCGCTGGGCCACGTCTAGAATCTAAGACTGACCTGGGTTTGAATTTGTTTTCTTTTCTCCATCCCCTGATCAAGCCACCGTTTTGTCATGGTTAGATTAAAGCCATAGCCTCCCCTGACCTCCCTGCCTCCATTCTCCTCTTCCACGCCACTTTATATTCAACCATCAGCACACATCTCCCTAGAAATTGCATCTGATCATATTCCATCCTTCCTTACAATCTTTCAGAGGCACCCCACCTCCCTCAGGATGAAGTCAATGTTCCTTAATTTAAATTAAGGAATCTAAATCCTTCAGTGATCTGTTTGATCATTTAAGCCTAATCTCCAGAGAATCTCTGCCACCTTCCCCCTAAGCATACTGCACCCAAGCTGTAAGGTCTACACCATTGTAGTGGTTCAACTGAGAATTTAGCACTGAGCTTCCTGGTAGCCAAAGCAAAAAGGGAAATAAAACCACTGGGAGAGTTGAGAAAAAGGAGGAATTGATAAGGGCTTGAGTGGTCACGGAAAACTTTCTAGAGGAAGCAGGGGTTAAGTTGAGGAAGGAAAATATCTGAATAGGTAGGAGGTCCCTTCATGGAGCCGCCACCCCCCCACCCCCCACATTATGGTCTAGCTCAGTCACCATGACTGGGTCTGAAGCCCTTCCTCCACAGGGCTGCCTTGAGTGACACAGTGGAGCTGTGGGAGTCCCTACAGCAGCATGGGGAGGCCAAGTTACTCCGAGCAGTGAAGGAGAAGTTCACCATTGAGCCTTTCAAGGCTGAATCCATGAAGGATGTGGAAGACCTGGGCAACCTCGTGCAGATCCAGAGGTGAGAGGGAAAGGGCATGGGAGTTGGTCCAGACCATGCAGGACCTAATATTAAGTTTGCTATTAACAATTCTTCCTCTTTTGGGGGGACCTCCCCTGCTCCCCGCCAGCCAATGACCATCCAAAATCTCTCACTGCAGTCACCACCCAGGCAGAGTCCCTAAGATTTATCACTCTGTCCACTTCAGAACTTGCCATCATGTACCCAATTCTTTCTCAGCTAAAGCCAAGGAGATATTCTCTCCTGCTAAGAGTTCATAAGCTGCCTTCTGTATCTAGTAACACAAATGACACCTATGGCCACCTTTCGAGGCAGCCAGGACCAGTATCATTCCCATTTTCTAGATGGCAGAGGTCTAAGGTTCAAAGGGCAGAGGAAACGTGACCACAGAGCAACTGTCTTTCCCTCATTCCTTCATCATACATTGTTTGAGCACCTACTATGCGCTGTCTGGGATGGGTGTGGGTAATGCCTCCTCTAAGGCTCTTTTCCGTGAAACACACAGTAATGCCTTAATAATATCCTGTCCTGAGGTTTTTCTTTTTAACAAGGGGACAACAGTAGCCCAAGGAAGGCAGTCCTTCTGGGGAATTTTGGGCACTGGGGCAGGCGTCCCCCCTAGGAGGGGACTCCATGACAGGTGAGGAGCCAGCTCTTCCCTAACATTGCCCGTTCTCTCCAGGACAAGAAGTTCCTCTGAAGACACGCCTGGGGAACTCCCTGCCATCCGAGACTTAAAGAAGCTGGAGTTTGCGTAAGCAAAGGGGTAAATTGTCTCGGGTCCCCACGAGGTTTCTCCTCTGGCATTAGCTGGGCTTGTGCCACCAGAATGGAGATGGGTCCTCAGGATCATTCTTACTCTCTTGCCCCACCACTCTGGAAACCAGCTTCCAGCAGCTGGGGCATGGCCGGTCTGGGCTAGTCCTGGAGGTTCTCGGGGGTGAAGCTAACTTGCCCATTTGCTGGTGAACATACTCATTCGCATCCACTCATTCGACAGACCTACTCATATGACCGAGGCCACTGTTCTCAATGAGCTTGCTGTCCAGTGTAAATAGACAATTACCACCTGCTGTGATTAGTGGCCAGAAACTCAAGGGCTGTGAGCGTGAAGACTTAGGGGAGGTCAAGATGACTTCCTGGAAGAGGAGACTGAAGCACTGAAGCTTGACAAAGAAATAGGAATGGACCATGCTGGGTGGAGATATTATCTCCCCACTGCACAGAAGCAGACACTGAGGCCTTGAGAGTGTAAATTGTTTGTCCAAAGTCACAAATGTCAGGTCAGCCTGGCTCTTGCTCCAACAAACAAAAAAGTTAAATTCATGGTAGGTCCTTGTTAGGGATCTAAAATCATCCAACGATTAAGAAGGAATTATTAAACAACTACAGTGTACTCAGTGCCATAATCTTATTAATTTCAAGAGCCACTCTGGGAGATAGTCATTATCATCCCCATTTTACAGATGAGGAAACTGAGGTCTAGTGAGGTTAAGTAACTTGTCCAAGGTCCCCAGCTGGTCACCCACAAGCTGTCTGCTCTTCCTGATCACAGCTCCCCCTGTGCCCCAGAAAAAGCCAAGCGTTTCTTCTTTTGAACAGCGACAAGAGGCCAAATTTGTGCAGAGGTGAAAAATATTGCTGAAAAGAGGAACTGTATGAAAACAATCACCAAGGGCCCCTTCTGGCTTTGAATTATTTTTAGCTTAAAAAGCCCCTAATTCAAGGTCGGAACTGTGCTCTGGGGAACAGCAGCCGTGGGGTAGAACAGCCCAGAACCTGGAGAGTAGCCACCTGCAGGCCAGAAGCCCTGAGAAAGTTCTGAGGAAAGAAGGAAGGAAGGAAAGGACTATTTTGGGCGTGAGACTGGCAGCCACCATGCCGGGCACCCTGTAGATCTCATGTGCATGTAGATTAGGCCCCTCAGCCGCTCAGAACCCTGCAGGGGCTCTGCTGGTGGACGATTCTCCCCTGATTCAGCCCCCATTTACCTCTTCACCCTCGCCTCCTGCACTCTTTCCAGCCACGTGGGTCCTCTTAATGGTTTTCAACCTCACTAGGCATGGTCCGACCCCTGGGCCTTTGCACTGGCTGTGCCTTCCACCCAGGACACTCTTCCCCAGGTATCAGCATGGCCCACGCCCTCACTTTCTTCTAGTTTTCAGTGAGAGAGGCCTTTTCTGACTCCTGTATTTAAAAGTACAGTTCTGCCCTGCTCACGCTGTGCTTTTCTCTATATCAATTATCTCCCACACCAGACAGTTTACCAATTTCTTTGATTATCTGTCTTGCCCCCTGGAATGTCAGCTCCACGAGGGCAATGATTTTTGTCTGTTTTGTTCATGGCTGTCTGCGTGACGGGCTTGCTGGGCCTGGCACACAGTAGGCAAGCAATCAATATTTGATAAATGAATTCCTTAATCTTTCCAAAAACCTCCTAAGATTGGGGCTAAATTTGAGAAGATTGAGACTCAGAGGTTAAGGGATTTGCCCAAAAAGCCCCACAGAAGCTAAGTGGTAGAGCCCAGATTCAAATCAGATTACGGATTCCCATCCTGTGACCTTTCATTGAGGCTAGTAGTTCCCAGACTTTGGGGTTTCAAAGACTGAGAATATTTCAGAGTGAATTTCAGTGACTATGTGCAGTTACCATCTTTTAATTTGTATCAAGTATGTTCATTCAAACAAGTGAAATAACTGCTGCTGACACCATAATTTTATTAAAAATGAACATTTTAATGTCAAAAAAGTTCAAAGGATATAATTTCAGAATAAAAGACTCTTCTTTACACTGAGTACACTTAACCATATTTTAAAAACAGGGACTTCCCTGGCGGTCCAGTGGTTAAGACTCTGTACTTCCAAGGCAGGGGCTGTGGGTTCGATCCCTGGTCGGGGAACTAAAATCTCACATGCTGCGTGGCATGGCCAAAAATTAAGAAAAAAAAAAAAAAAAAAAAGGAACAAAGAAAAGAAAAAAAAAATAGCCCTCTGTTGTCTTTATTTTTCTCATTCTCTTAAAATCTGGCCTAAATGTCCATCCAGGCTGTGTGACCTTGTATGAGTTCATTAACCTCTCTGTGCCTCAGTTTCCCCATCTGTAAAATGGGGATATGAAGTGCTCTTAGCTCAGAGTCATTGTGAGGATTAAATGAGGTCTGATCTGAGTGATGGGTCCAGTGTGTTCCTGGCACATAAAAAGTGCTCAAGAAATGGTTCTATTTGTTGTTAAAAAGCAATGGCAAATAAGTAAACCATCTTTCTCATCACTGGTGGTGGTCCTCAGGCCAGCATTTGGGAACCACTTCCCCAGGCCAGGGTGGGAGAAGGGTGCATGTGGATGTCAGCAGGAGTAAGAACTGGCTCCCCACTCAGAGATGAAAGATGGGGAGCCCCCAGCTGGGAGCCCAGATGGCCTCTTGAGTGGGCTTTGTGAAATGTGCCTGAAGCAGAAGGGATTGGGGTCCCACCAGGTGGAGCTGGGGGTAGTTAAGGCCTCAGATGGGCCTGCCTTCTGTGGGGTCCAGTAGAGGGGCCATGACTGCTTCAGGGTCTTAACTCTGCTCTTTGCCTTCTAGGCTGGGCCCCATCTTGGGCCCTCAGGCTTTTCCCAAACTGGTGAAGATCCTTGAGGCCTTTTCTTCCCTTCAGCATCTGGAGTGAGTATAGACCCCGGAATCCCTCCTGGAGACACTGGGCTTTGACAACCCCAAACCCTGGCCTTGTTTGTCCCTTTCTCTCTCTCTCTCTGTGTCCTGCTGCTTCCTCAGTGTGGCTGGTGTGAGTGACCAGATGCCCCCACTGCAGGGAAGCGATGGCAGAAGGAAATCCCCAACAATAAAAATAGGTTGAATCCTTTCAAGATCTTCGAAACTCTTTTCCCCTCATGTGCTGCTCCCAGCAATCCCACGGGGAGGCAGGGTCGGGGAACATGATCCCATTGTACACCTGAGGTCTCTAGAGGTTAAGGAAGTTGCTCCAGCTCATGGGGCTGCCAGGAAGGAAAACAGTGATTCGGGTCCATGGGTAGTTAGGGCCCTGTCCACTTGTCGGCCTGGCAGTCCCAGGTGATGAAGATTTGCTCTCAAATGCTCGGAGTTGCAGCTGCATCTGGCCATGGTGTGTCCAGGGGTGGGAGCATGGGAGGAAGCCACTGCTGGGTTGGAGGGTGGGGAAGAATCGGGTGGCCTCCAGGGTGCTGGCTGATGGCCCCAATCTGATTCCATCTGCAGCCTGGACTCGCTGAGTGAGAACAAGATCGGGGATGAGGGTGTTGCCCAGCTCTCGGCCATCTTCCCTCAGCTGAAGGCCCTGGAGACGCTCAAGTGAGTGCGCTGGGCTGGCCCTTCCTGCTGCATTTGTCCCCAAAGTCCAGCTTTTTTATTCTTTCATTCACTCATCCATTCAATCGTGCATTCGTTTAATCATCCACCCATTCATTCATTCAATCATTTCTTTAATCAGCCATTCAACCAATCATTTATTCATTTAATCAACAAATGCGTAAGAAGCATTACTGTGTACAGACACCATTCAAGGCCCTGGAGAACCAGCTTTAAACAAAGCAAAGCCCCTGACCTCAGGGATCCTCTAGGGAGGAGACGCAGTAAACAAGCAAACAAGCATCCATAATTATGAAGTGTACAGTAATGACTGTGAGCAATGTTTAGTGAGAGAAAGACTGGGGAGGTGAGACAGGAGAGATAGATTAGGATTTATCAGTAACACATTATTATCAAAATAGTGAATTTCTATTAAAAAAAAAACTGTTCTGGGTTTGGGAAATAGCAGATGGATATGATGCAGGAGGGTCAACATGATTTTTTACTGAACCTAGAGGGATCATCAAAATCTACCCGCACTCTACTCCACAACCATGATCAGGGCAGCCACAGAACTCACCAGAATTCACTTAGGGACCAGAATTCACTTAGGGATTTCCTTGATGGTAGGACACTGAGACTTATTAAGTAATTTATAGTGTTTAAGGAAACAGAGTGAGTAAGCTAGATTTCCCTCCCTTCGTCCTTCCTTACATCCTCCCTCCCTCCCTCCATTTCCCTCTCTCTCCCACCTTTCCTTCCTTCCTTTTTTACCCCACTTAAATATTTTCTGAGCACCTACTATGTGCTTGGCATGGCTGTAGGCACAGGGATAGAGTAATGAACAGACTCGACCCCTCACCTCGTGGAGTCCACGTCATTAAACAAATAATGTAAACCCTTATGTAATGACAGTGCTGAAAAGTGGTCCAAAGGGAAAAGAATGGATGCTACATCTGCATCCTCACCCCCATCATTCCACTCAGCCTCAGGGTGTGACTGCATCATTTTACTGATTTAGCCCAAGTCTACCCATAGCGCCCTCACACAGTTCAGCACCCACGACTCTCATCCAGGTAGAATGTCCTGTGCTTGCTGCCCTGGGATGCCCTGTGAGGAAGCAGGGGTTCCCAGCCCTGCCGGAGCCTGGGGTGATGGACACTGATGGGGAGGGGCATTCAGGTTTGGCCCTGAGCCCTCCCCTTGTTGTACTCCCGCAGTTTGTCCCAGAACAATATCACTGACTTGGGTGCCTGCAAGCTGGCGGAGGCCCTGCCCTTGCTGGCTGCGTCCCTCCTCAGGCTGAGGTGAGTGGGGCCCTCTATTGGTCAGGTGCTGAGCTGGTGGGCTGGAGGGCGGGCGGAGAAGCCCCTTGGTGGCAGCTGTAAGGTCCAACACTGGGACCCTGAAAGCAATCACTACACATCAGTGTTGCACAACTTGGTGGGGGTAGGGAGTGGGGGGCGCCGACCTAAAATCCAACATGAACACACACCCCTGGAGTTGGGTGATGCCACCGCCCTGAACGAGATTAGCAGCCCCTGGGGAAGGGCATCTGGCACTCTGGGCAAATCACTTACTCATCTCGAGCCTCTGTTTCCTCATCTGGAAAATGGGTACCATCCCAATAGCCTATGGAAAGCGCTTGGTGCAATGCCTGGCTCTGGTGCTTAATAAATCTTGGTCCTCTTTCCCCAGGGCATGGCAGGACTGGGCCTTTTCTGGAGTCCGGGGTGGTTTCTAGAATGCTGACTATGCACAGGTAGCCTTGGCTGGCTCTTGTCATGCACACATCACTCCGTGCCTACACTGTCACCTTCTGGCGGGCCTTGGAATAGCACATTCTTGCTTTTGCTTACTTCCAGCCTGGTGCCTGGCGGTTCCCTCGGACTAATGGGTCCTTCCAGCCCATTATCCTTCCAGCCAGGGTCCCTGAGTGCAGCTGTATAGGTTGTGTGCTGTGCAGTTTGTAGTCCATGTGATTGGCACGCCCTAGAGCTGTGAGGGTATCTAATATTCTCTAATATCAACCATGGGCCAGAACCTGTGCTAGAAACTAGAGATACAGCTATGAACAAAACCAGGGTGGGTCTTGCTTTCAAGTTCCTTGCATAATAAATAAGTAAGCACGTGCATAAACAAAATGTTTAAAATGCTGATTCATGCTGGGAATGAGGAAACTAACAAAGGCCCCAGAGGGTACAATAGGGAGTACTGAATTCACCAGGGAGGTCAGGAGACCCCTGAGGAGGTGACCCTCCCCCTTCTGTGGGATGCTCTCAGGGAAAAGCATTCCAGGGAGAGGGAACAGTAGAGGCAAAGGCCCTGAGGTGGGAATGAGGTTGGGTCTTTGAGGGCCAGAAGGGGGGCCTCTGTGTCTGGCTATAGGGAATGAGGGACAGAGGGTGGGAGATAAGGCGGGAGAGGTCAGGGAAGGCCAGATCATGCAGGGAGACCCTTGCAGGCCGGGAGAGTGGTTGGGAGTTTTTCCATTGTGAATGGAGAAGCAGGTGGGGCATGTGGAGGTGATATGTGATCTGACTGACACTTTAAGAAACCTCATATTGGGAGTTGCCTGGTGGCCTAGTGGTTAGGATTCCGCGCTTTCACTGCTGTGGCCTGGGTTCAGTCCCTGGTCGGGGAACTGAGATCCTGCAAACTGCGCAGCATGGCCAAAAAACAAAGGAACCTCATATTTTATGGACTGTAAGATGCCATCCATTTGTAAGACACCATTAAGGGGACAAAATTCTGCTAATTAAATGACATCCATTGATTATCAGACACATCCTGATCGCAATGATTTTCAAATGTGAACATGTACATCTTGGCATCAATGAAATATGGGAAGAATCCTCTTCCTGTGGGTGAGGAAGGGCCTCCTGGTTCTAAGATCCATCCCAGGAAGGGATTGTAAAACCCCTACCTGGTTCCTGCCCTGGTACCGGCCGACCCGTGACATCAGGGGTTCCTGGAGTTTAGCTTGAATCCACTTTGCTGCAGTGTAGACTTGCTGCTTTTACATGCAGCCCTGCAGTGTTGCTCTGAGGCTGAGTCAAGGCAAAGTCACGGCCTTGAAATTAGAACCGTGGCTGCACCTGACTTGTTAAAAGGACGCTCGTTAATGAATATACAGCTTAAGTTGGCACCAGTGAAGGTGTCGTGCTATTTCTGACACTGCTGATGGTGACTGAATATATTATAGAAACCCGAGCCTGCCCAGTGACTCTGGGCTTCTCTCTCTCCTGCTATTCCCGATGCTGCCCCACCCCCCACAGTAACTTGTATAACCGTCACAAACCCCCTTGGGAGGTATAATAACCATAGTTAACATGTAGTTCATTCCACATGTCAGGCCCTGTTCTGGGTGTTTTACCAACATTAACTCATTTACCCCTCCCCACAATTACTCTATCATGCCCATTTTATGGAGGAGCAAACTGAGTCACAGGGGAGCTGAGTAACTCGCCAAAGATCAGACAGGCAGCAAGCCACAGAGCTGGGATTTGAACTTGGGCTGTTTCAGATGGGAAGCTACCTCCACTTAGTCCTGCTGCTTCCCTGAACCCACTGAGTGACCACAGAGAAGCAGCCTCAACTCTCTGGGCCTCAGTTTCCCCCTCTGTTAAATGGGGCAGTAATTCTGGCTGGGTGTGGCTCTCCCTGAGCCCTGACCCCCCAGCACCCCCGGCCCCTGCCCTGACCTCTTTCTCCGGCAGCTTGTACAATAACTGCATCTGCGATGTGGGAGCTGAGAGCCTGGCACACGTGCTTCCAGACATGGTGTCCCTCCGGGTGCTGGAGTGAGTGTGGGAACCTGGGCAGTGGGGGTGGGGCCAGGACTTGGGAGGACCAGGGTCTCCTGCTGGCATCATGGGAAGGGCTGGGCTGAGGTCTGGTTGTCGAGAGCGTGGTGATGACCTTGGTCTGGGGCTTATTGGTCCCCAGGGCCAGGATCCACAATGGGTTTCTCTTCCCAGTGTCCAGTACAACAAGTTCACAGCTGCCGGGGCCCAGCAGCTCACTGCCAGCCTGAGAAAGTGCCCTCACGTGGAGAAGCTGGCGTAAGTCTCAACAGTGGCGGAGGGAGGCTCAGCGTGAGGTTCACCTTGTGAGCCCTGAGCTCACATCCCGCTCTGTCCCTCACCAGCGTTCAACCTTGGGCAAGCAGACACATCAACCCTCTGAACCTAGTTTCTTTTCTTCTTTTTTTTTTTTTTTTTTACTTTTGGCAACGCTGCATGGCTTGCGGTATCTTAGTTCCCGGACCAGGGATTGAACCTGGGCCCTCAGCAGTGAGAGCGCCAAGTCCTAACCACTGGACCGCAGGGAAGTCCCTGGCCTCAGTTTCTTCGTCTGTAAAATGGGAGTGACAATAATATTTACCCCCTATTTAAATATTTATATTTAAATTGTGGGTTTTAAATTTGTCAATATACTCAGAAGAGTGTCTGGTACACAAAAATGTTCTATATACTAGGCTGAACAATATGAAATCGCTTATATTCAACCATTTTTGACCTACACACCTGGCCATTTCATATGGTTGAAACTTATTTATTATTACATCACTATGATGTCTACTGTCCAGTACTGTACTTTATTGTCTACCTAATCACTCATATCTTCTAGGAGGGATAGGGTGGCTCTTGTAAGACCCATTTTGCAGATGAGGAGAATAAGGCACAGATAGGTTAACTAAACTTTTTGAGATCACACAGCAAGTCAGTGGCAGAATCAGTTTTTAAAAAGGGGTCTTGGGGCTCCTAGGCCTCTGGTGTCCCCATGACCCCACACTAGGCTAGGTGGGAGGAGGGATTTGGGGGCAGCTTGCGTTGGGACCACCCCGTCTCCTCTAACCTCTGTGTGCCATGCCCCCATCACAGGATGTGGACGCCCACCATCCCTTTTGGCGTCCAGGAACACCTGCAGCAGCTGGACTCAAGGATCATCCTGAGATGATCCAGGCTGTGCCTGGGACAAGGTAACTGAGGTGAGCTTTGAAGGGGAGAACCACGGGGGTCCCTGGGGACAGTGTCCTGTGAAGTCAGAATCCATAAAAGGTGGGCGGGGCAGCAGGTGGGAGCTGGGTGACAACTCCTGGACCATGTGCCATCTGGGCCCACCCCGTATCCCCCTGTGCTGGGCTCGGTGCGGTGTCTTCTAAAGGCTTTGAGGACTTGGGCTCTGAGGATCCTCCCTATGGGCAGGCGTGGGACCCGGGGAAGGACAGGTGGGTCAGCCGTGCACGTCCCACAGCCCTCAGCATTGGGAAGGTCTGCCTTCGAGGACTCCCCAGCCATCCCGGCTGGCTGCTGTTTCAACCTGTCGGCTGCCCCGATGCCCGGCATTGTTTTCATAGGAATTTGCTCTACCAGTTTCCTGCCCCTCTCTGTGAGGATGACTGTCCCCTCACTTCCATGCTCCCCCGACCTGGGACATCCCCCTCGTCCATTCCTCCCATCCCTCCCACCCCCAATCTCGACCGCACTTTATCCATGTGTTAAACTGCCCTGTCCTAAAGCTTCCTGATCTCCACCCATCCTGACCTCTCACAGCATGTTCTCCGAGGACACTGACCATGCTGGACCCTGACCTGGTTATTTGTGGACACAGCTCTTCTTGGGCTGTTTCCCGTGAGCCTCGGCGTCCTGGTGCCCAGCCCTGGTGGCTCAGAGTCGGCCCCTGCCCAGCTGTGGAAAGGACCCATGGCCTGTTCTGTGAACAGACCCAGGCCCGGCCCTAGGCTCCTTCGGAGAGCAGGCTGATGTCAGCCCTGCTCAGCCACTGCAGCCCTGGCAGATGGGCCAGTGCCTGGTGGCAGCTGCTGGGCACCCAAGAGCCCTGAGGCATTCCCTGCAGGACACTGCAGACAGCTGTGGCCAGGCCAGAGAGAGGGATGAAGCGGCCACATCCCCACCTGCCCAGGTCCCTGCCAGCCTGGGGAGAAAGCACTGCTCCACGCTGCTCTCCTAAAGGGCAAGATCTGAGGATACCAGCGACCATCCCCTGCCTGCTGACTTCCCAAACCATGACCGGCTGGGATTCTACAGCAACTGCCTTCTGTCTCTGGGACTCACAGGTTTGCACTAACTTTGTTTGCCGAGGCCAAATCTAGGCCTGGCCAGACACACTGGACCTTAGCAGGAAAAGAGCTGATGGTACACTAACAGAGGAGGGGAGGGGCGATGGACTGGAACCACGTCTACCTTTTTGCCTTCATTTCCTGTGTCTTTTTTCACTACATGATAAATGGCTCATTTAATCCCACAGGCAGGTCCTGTGTTTGAGTTTATACCGTGCTTACCATTTTGGATGCCCACTCTTCCGGCTAGCTAATGCGTCACAAACCGCCCCAAAACGCAGTGGCTTACAACAGCACACACGTTTATTCTGCTCACACACCTGTCTTTGGGCAGGGCTTGGCGGGGACAGCTCGTCTCTGCCCCACTCAGCGTCAGCTGAGGTTGTCTGGAGGCTCAGTCACGCATATGTCTGGCACCCGATGCTGCCCAGCGGCTGGGGGCCTTGGTTCCTCTAAGGAAGTGGCAGGGGGACTCTCCCTGTGGGCGAGTTTGGGCTTCCTCACAGCATGGTGGCTGCGTTGAAGGGTGATCACCCCAAGAGGAAGAGAGGTTGCGGGGGCAGAGGAGACCGAGACCATGGGGAACAGCCCTGCCCTTTCTGTAACCCAGCCTTAGAAGCTGTCACACAGCATCACTTCTGCCATATTCTCCGGCGAGTTGACGGAGGCCCTTGCTCTCTTGCCCTCCCCACCCCCCTCAGCCCGACACACACAGCAGAGTCCGCTTCGGCTCAAGTCCTGTCTTTCGGGAAAGGATTTTCTCTATGGCTTCCTACCATTCATTGGAAAATTCATTATTTGGGGGTCAGCAAGGCTGAAGCACCGTGAGCCTTGCAGAGTGTTTTCCTCTGTCTCTGATCCTCTGCTCTACCCTGGGAGTCGTTTCTTAGCTGAGCTGGAATCCGGCCCTGGCCACGGCAAGCCTGGAAGGGACTTGGCCGCTTTGCTGTCTACACTGAGAGCTGCCAGGTCGCCGTTGTTTTTCACTGGGGCACGGCTGGCTCGGTCAGAAGCCCTGATTTGGGACAACTTGGCCCTCTGCTGGTGGCTGTGGGAGCTGTCTGTGCTCCAGTGCACCAGCCCTGATGCCTGGTTCCTCAAACTCTCCTACTCTTCCCAGTAAGTGGGTGTTGGGGGTTGGGAGGGTCAGAGGGATTCTGACCCCGCTGCCCCGCTGGCAACCCTCGCAGAAAGGTAGTGCCTTCCGCCTTGGTCCAGTGGCTAAGGGCATCAGGCCTTGTAGCTGGGCCATCACCCCTCAGGGTGTGCCTGCATTTGTGGACCTTGTAGAGTCCACGGAACTCCCACTTGTGCAGCCACAGGAAGACAGTCTCCTTCTGATCCAGGCATCTACGGCACCCTTCAGCCAGGCGGGGTGGGCACAACTGTCCCCACTGCTTTTGGTCTGTTCAGAGGTGATACAATGAGGTCAGAGGCTGTAATTATTCATAGTAACGACTTTAAATGATAGCTACCACTTATTAAATGAGTTGATACACGTAAAGTGCTTATCACAGCACAAGGGACACAGTAAGTGCTCAATAAATATTAGCACGTATTATTACTTTGTGCCAAAGTGCTGAGCCCCTTCCCCCTACCAAGAGGGACCACGGTGTAGGGTCAAGCATCTCAGACTCTAGAGCTAGACTGCTTGGGCTCAGTGTCCAGCTCACCACTCACTTGTGCAAATTACTTCTCTGTGCCTCAGTCTCCTCATGTGTAAAATGGGCATAATCACAGTACCTTCTTCATGGGGTTACATGGAGATTCAATGAGCAAAAATGCTGAGAACAAGAGCCTGGCATCCAGTTCCCTACGTGTGGGCTGTCATTATTACACACATCCGTGTGTTTCATTCTCACCTCTGCCTGGAATGTTTTCCCAGCTCTTCACATGGCCTGCAGGACTCAGTTTAAAGGACAGCTCCTCAGGACGGTAGTAAATGCAGACACCCCTCCCCCGGCCTATCCCGTCACTAGTTTATCTTTTTCACACTTATTTGTTTTGTTGTCTGCTCTAGTCCTAGGATGTGAGCTCCAAGAGTGCAGGTAACCTGTTTGTTCACTGCTGTGCGGAGGCACCCTGTGCACCCAGCAAGGGGCCTGCACATAGTAAGGGCTCAATAAATGTTTGTGGAATGAACGAATAATTCTCACCACAACTTTGCTTTCTTTATTTGCTGTATTCATGCCACAAATATATAGTGACATCGTGGTGTACTCAATAAAATGCTCAAGGTCCCTGCTCTGCTAAATCTTGTATTTTAGTAAGTTTAAAAAGCTCCCTGGGCAGGGCTGTCGGGTGTGGTTGGGCAGTCTGTGCACTGCACAAGGCGCCTGGACATGGGAGCAAATGGGGTCTGCAATCCAGTCTGGGCTCTGCTTGCCAAGCTGTGAGTCCTGGTGTGGAGCAGTGTCTGCCCAGAGGGGCACCTTTGTCATTAACACAAACTCATCTTATGAGGTGGGTAAATGACTGTCCCCACTTCACAGATGTGACTTGCCTAAGGTCACACTCCTGTAAAAGAGGGAGTCAAGATACAAACTCCATTTCTGACTTCTCTGGAGGGTCACTCTGCAGGCATAGGCACCGGAATTGCAGGCAAATGCTGGAATTGCTCCCCATTTGCTGGGTGGGAGAAGTGATGCCCAGAGGAATCAAGGCAGCTGACGTCTGGAGTCACACTGTCCATTGACGGCATGATTCCACGTTCAGTGGACTTCAAGGCCATGCACCTTTTAAACCCTTGCCTTTCCCCTCACGCCTCTCTCCCAAAGAAATGTCTCCCTTCTCCTGCTCCCCTTTGTCTTGAATGTCTTCCAGTTCACATTTCTTAGCAACCCTTCTTAGAATCACATGAAGACAGGTGGTATGTAACTGCCTTCTCGAGTTCTGCTGGACCTTTCCTCTCCCACACCTTGGTCTCCTCACCTGTAGAATGGAGCTGACCACCCATTCCTTGTTCAACACAGTATATACGTGAAGGTACTTTGAAAAGCATCAGCTCTTCTGCAAACGGGGAGAATTACTGCACGTGGACCCAACTTCAGTCGTTCGTTTGCTCCTTCCCTTACCCGCCCACTCCCCTCATCTTTAGGGGAGATCTACCATGTGCCCAGCACAGGGGATCCCCACCTCCGACTGCTCTGGGATTCAGGCCTGATTTTCAGCTTGGCCACCAGGCCTTTCCCTCCACAACCAAGGTGGGCCCTTGCTTGTCAGGCTCGCGGAAGCCAGGAGGGGGCCGGGTTGGGACTCGGACACCAATGCAGCTTGGACAGACTCTCCAAACCCCACTGGATCTCCAACTGGGGAGGCCCTGACCCTTCTGCCCTTTCTCAACCATGAGGTTCTCCGTAAGGACTCCTTTCCTGAATCTCAAAGGAAAAGAACAAAACAAACACCCCCCACCCCCGCAGGGCCCCAGGGGTTGGAGTTGCATACATTTTTTTAATTGAAAGAAGTTAGCCTCCTAAGTATTGCTTTTACAGGCTTATCGAGGTCAAGTATTCATACCACTCACATTTTCGAAAAATATTTCTGGCTGGAGGAGCACTGTCCCCGGTGCAATGTATCAGTTCTGGCAACTTGATGGAGAGCAAACAATTTGAAATGAATGAGTCAAAACCCCACCCTCGGTCCCCCAGGTGTTCTTCTTTTCCTCTGAGTCACTCTCTGAAACAATGGCTGCATCTAAGCCCAGCCTCAGGCCAAACCCCGTTGGGCTTAGAGCTCCACTGGCATCAAACAGAGCTGGGAGTCGCTTTTGTGTGTGAAGTGTCCGCTCCGAAGATTAAGTGGGAGAAGCAGATGCAGCCGGGGGTGAAGAGCAGGGAGGCAGACTCTGGCTGGGTTCCTGTAAACATCCATTGCAACGGCGAAAGCTCGGAAGCCAAGGCAAGGCCGTTTGCGCGACGCTGCAGGCGGGCAAGGTCTCTGGGCGCCCCTGCCTTACCCTTTGGGCAGGGGCACGTGCCTTCCGGACCTCGGCACCCAGTCTCAATCTCTCTGTCCCACCATCCTGGGTCTGGACGGGCACCTCTCTGTTGGCACAGGGCTTTCGAGGGGAGCAGGCCTAACAAGAGGGACAGAGGGGCGTTACCAGCACAGAAGCACCGCCCCACCACCCAACTGGAGGCTCGAATTTGAGGAACCACCAGAAACCTCAGGCTGGGGGTGAGGTCCTATAATTTTTTATTAAAAAATTTTCATGAGTGTGTCCGATTTCTAAGGACCCTAGGCTGGAGAAGCGGTGCAATTTCACCTGGGAGAGGAAGGACTGTCACTATCTTGGGAGGTAATCCCCGGGAGGGGGTATCCTGGGACCTGACGAAGGAGGGCAGCCAGCTCCAGGGTCACCCGGGGTCTGCTGGCTTACTTGAGCTCTAGGGCAGCTGAGTCAGCTCTGGGGAGTGGGCAGGGCTTGGCGGCAGCTCCCACCTTGCCCGGAAGATGCTTCGCAGCCTACAGGAAGGCTGTGGCCACAGCCAAGCTACTCAGCAGCCCCACTTGGCTCGCTCTCCCAGGACACAGCATCATCCCCAGCGCCTGGCTCCCCGCAGGTCCTCACTTACTGTTCCCTTCTCTCTCTAGGTCCAGCCGGGTGCTAATATGTTTGCAGCATCTCGTATTCCCACGCCCACCCTCCCTACAGCCTCCACAAGTCCCGCCCCAGTTCTGAGCCTCACCTCTGCCGGCTCAGCCTACTTCCGCAAATGTCATTGAGCATCAGATAAAACGTACACGTTAAACACAACGTGTATTATTGTTCATCAGGCACTGCTCTTTGCGGCAGGACAATCCTCTGATGAGGTGGGGGCGGGGGAGGACCCGTTCTGGGCACTGCAGGAGGCTTAGCAGCATCCCTGGTCGCTGACTGCTAAGTGCCAGTAGAATTCCCAGTCCCTGCGACAACTAAAAATGCCCCCTCACCCCATTTCCAGGGGCCACCCAATGGGGCAGAACTGCTTCCACTGAGAACCATGAATCTCCCCATTTTATAGGCTAAGAAACAGAGGTTCAGAGAAGCCAAAGCTGCATAACTGTGACAAGCAGGGCTGGCAGTGGACGAGTGACGGCGATGCAAACAATCACAGTCAGGGCAGCTACCACTTCCTGAGCTTCTACTGTGTGCCACGAGCCCTAGGCAGAGCATGGGTGCCTCACCCCATTTCTTCCACTCACCCTCCCGAGGCAGACTGACCTGGCAGCTTCCACCTGCAGGGACACCCCTCCTTGCCTGAGGCCTCTCCACCTCGAGAGCCTGCTTGGGCCCCAGGCTGCAAGGGCAGGCAGAGCTTCCCACAGCTGCCTTCCAACCAGTAACGGCCAGAAAGCTGGTGGATCAATACCCCAGCTCTCTCACCCAGCAGCTGGGATGACTCTGAGGCATATTCTCCATCTACACTGGTTCCCAGAGCTCCTGAGCAGGACTGAGCCCAGGGCTGCGGTGGTAACCTGCTAGATGACACATCCCTTCCCTGTCTCACTGCCCCCCTCCCCACCAGTAGTTCCTGGGATCACCTCCCAAGTAAACAATTTTCACTTGAACCCTCGTCCCAGGGTCTGCTCCCCGGAGAGCATGCCTGAGATGGAGCATTACAAAGGCCATTTCGTTCAACCCTCCCAACACTCCAGGAGTTAGGTACTATAATGATTCCATTTTACAGATGAAGACACTAAGGTTCAGAGAGGGTAAGAAACTTGTCTAAGGATGCTCAGCTCTCCAGGGCTTTGTCCTACTGGAGAGCTTAAACACTACATAATCTCATACCTCCTGTGTGCCATGTCCTGAGCTGAGCACTGGGGACCCTAAGATGAGTGCAGCCTCTGCCTTTGACACACAATCTAGTGAGCAATTTTAGCCCAAGTTAACACACTGACGCTGGAAAGCAGCACAGGAGACGGATGGAGCCCAGAGTCTGGGGAAGGCTGTGCACGAAGGACACGCCAGGTAGAGGGAGGGCTGGTGATCAGGTCCTGGAACCTCCTGTAGTTTGGTTTGGGGTGGAGAGTAAGGGGTTGAAGGCTGGCCATGGGGGAGACATGGCTGGAGAGGTGAGCAGGGGCCAAATCGGCCAAGTTTCTTGTGTCCTCTGCCAGATTCATCTCCTAGTGTCAGCTAGGAACATGCCCTTCCACTACTCAGAGATCTTCCTCGGCTCCCACTGATGACACATGCAAGTCCTCTCATCCCTGGGCCCCATCCGGTCTCCCCACTGGACCTGGTAGGCAGGAGGGGAAGCCGGGGCTAAACCAGAGCATCAGAGAGCTCGGCCCTCCAGAAGGGTGTTCGTGGGTGCCCCTCCTGTCCTGCCAGGAGCCCACCTTTGGCTGACCTCCCTCCTCCAAGGAGACTCTGGGGTTCCCTGTTGGGGTCAGCAGTGGTGCTGCCGAGAGCACTGGCATCCAGGAAAATGGAGCTGAACTGTTTATTCCGATACAGCATTACCAGGGCTCACTGCGCACTCTCCAAGGCAGGGGATGTTACTTGAGCTCATCTCAGACTTGGGCGAAAGGGCTGTTAGAGAACGTGGGACCACCCCTTGGAACAGGGACTCACTCCCCCCCCCCAATGCTCGTGATAGCAAACAGCACTGAGTCCCAGGCAAGCGTCAGTCTGGCTGACGCGACTCTGTCACACGTGCTAACCTCCGATGGGAACAGGTGCAGAGCCTTGCAGGTGCCGGCTCCAGCTGGAATTCACTAACGCCCTCTCGTTCTCATTGTTTATCTGTAGGGTCACCTTCTATTTATGGCGAATGATGCCAGTTTTCCATTTCCGATAGTAATACTATAAAGTTCCTCTTTTTCCACAACATTAATTTCACTTTAAAAAAAGCCTCCGGTTTAAAGACAATAACTGCATAAGTTAACTGTTCAGGCAACGAGCAGATAGAGCAGAAATTGTTGATGGTGTCATATGAGGTTTGGGAGACCCTGATCTGAGCTGCTCACTCTACAGAGAATGAAGGGGCCCAGAGAGGGCGGTGACCTGCCCTAAGCCACACAGCACACTGAGGACAGAGATGTGGCCCCAGGCCTCTGTATCTGTGGCTGGAGGATGTCCTGGGTCCTTTCCTCTGTGCCACACACCATTCCCTTTGCTCCTTTGATTACAGGTCTGGTCTCATAGCAAACCAGCTGACATTTATCAAGTACTTGTGCTTACCTTGTACTATCTGCTTTAACTCAAGGCTTAGCTCATTTATTCCTCAAATCAACCCTAGGAGGCGGGGCCAAGGAGGACCATCATCCCTGAATTTCAGATGGGGCTCAGAGAGGTTACGCTTGTGACTGAGCAATGTCACACAGCTCATAAATGGCAGAGCCAGGGTTCGAACCTCTGTGGTCTGACGCAACGTCTATCTCAGTTCCTCTCAGCATCTAGTTCATCTCTTTCCTTGGGCATCAGAAGCCCCGGGCTGAGAAGTGTCCTGAGGCTGCAGCTTAAGAGTCCAGGCACTGGGTTCTCCAACCTCCTAACATCCTTAGAGCATGACTCACCAGCTATTGGCTTTGGCTGTTTTTCTTTCTTTCTGAAACTGTAACCTTTCATTCTAGGCCACTCCCCAGAGCTGGACAGAAGGAGTGGCTGGCTGGCTGACTGGTTTGTCATCAGAATGACAGCTGGGCACTCGATCCATTTTAAGAAGCAATGTCTCAGCTGGATACCCCTGTGGAGATGCTGCCTAGTTTGATTTGGCTTAAGGGAGAAAATGACCTTGTGTCTTAAAGGTGCTGGTGGGATGATGCTCTGGACCTGCTGGAAGAGGATTCTTTTTGCAGTTGGGCCGTCCCACTGTCCTGCTCCCATGGGGTAGCCAGGGCAAGGTCTGGAATTGGCCCATCTCGAGTCATTCTGGCTCTGCCCCTTCCTAGCTGTGTGACCTCAGGCAAGTCACCTAGTCTCCCTGGAGCTGTGTCCCCATCTGAAACAATGCCTACCTCATCTGGCTGTTTGTTACGAGGATTATATGAAATTGTGTTGGTGGAATGCCTGCAATACCCAGTACACACGGCCCCTCCCCTCCGTGTCCCCACCTGTTCCCAGCTAGAAAACACACAGGGCAGGGGCGGGGGTTGTCCTCAGTGCAGGGGGCCTTCTGAAAGGGGCAGCCCTTTCCTCCTCCAAAGACCTTGCCTGCTGGACGCCCATGGCTATTCCTCTTTCTCAACGTACCAACCAGCCAATTAAAGTGGCTAAAGACAGATGTCACCCAGATATGATTTGCCCACGGTCTCCACTGCCGTCTCAGCGCCGGGCCACGCAACAGGAAGGCCTCTGCCTTGTCCGGTTGACGAGCGCGTGGCCTGAAGGGGTGGGAAAGGAGATCCTGCCTGTCTGCCTGGGTCCAGGTTCCTGATGGAAGCCACTGTCCGGGCCAGTTTCTCCAGAGTTTCTGGATTATATGTCAGCTGTTGATGTTCCTCAGCCGTGGGTTCTGTGAAGATTCTTGGTCCAGTACGTGTCTCCAGCTGGCCTGCACCCCAGACTCAGTGAGGCCTTCTGAAGGGCAGCATCTGCCCAACACCTTCCTGAGTCCTGTCACAGCCAAGAACCACCTGGACTCCTATTTATTTAGTATTTTAAGTCACGGCACTTTTTTCCTCAAACTCCAAAATTCTCAAAGGAATCTTTATGTCACTATCATGAATAAAAAACAGTATCATTTATCATAAACAGAAAGCAACACTAAAAATAAATGATGAAAATGAAACCATTAACTCTAGCCAGATACCCCTGGCCTGCAAAAAGGGAGCCTGGGCCTGGTTTCTCTGATCAAAAGGGAAAGGTAGCAAGTGCCCAAGAGGGGGCAGGACACCGACAGGTGGGTCACACTAGGCTTTGGTGTATTCACTGCCTCCCGGGGATGCCTGTGACCTGAGGACGCCTGAGGACCTCACTGAGGGAAGCACTGGGAATGTGGCCAGGAGGCCCCGCTTGTCCACCTCACAGCCTGGTATCTAGGGCAAGGCCCTGAACCTCCCCTAGCCTCAGTTTTCGGCCCTGTCTAATGGAGCTAATGAGCGCTGTGCTGCCTGCTTTGTGGGGTGACGCTCAGGGGAAGCTAA